TAACGTAACGTAAGTAGTATATAGTATATAGTGTAGTATATATATATATATATATATATATATATATATATATATATATATATATAAAAGAAAACCATGATGATACTATAGATCCCTAAATTTTGGCTCCAAAATCCACATCAAAAATGGATTAGGGAGGGAGGATGCATGTCCACAGATGAGTCAGCAGACTCATCAAAACCGGTACACGCAGGCAATTAGAAATACTTCTCCTTAAATATAAAAAGATGTAAAAGCATTCCTGGTAGCCAATGAAGCATCTGAAATCCATATTTTCATTAGATTGGTCAATGTTTCAACCAGAAAATTGGAGAAAGTTGAACTGCTTCGACATAACATTTGGTACATAATTTTACCAAAAAACATATTAATAATCGAGGCATTTTGGTTCTCATGTAACATGTCGAAATAGAGGTTTGCAAGGCACTTAAAGCCCCAATGGATAATGAGCACTGTGAAACCCCACCCCCTAGGTACCACTCTTGGATCATTAGATTCACTAAAATTGTGTAGCTCAAAATATGACGTTAAAAAATATTTAGCACTTTGTAAATAAACTGGTCAAATATTAGTGTGAAGTTCAAATTTAAGGATCCAGCCTCTGACACAATCAAAATTTCAGGATATCTAACCTTCTTCAGAGATATAAAAGTTTAGGATGCTAGCAGAATCATGTTGGCAAATAACCGCAATAAGTTTTGATTCAACCCCTTTGGTAAGAATAACTAATGCAATATGACCAAGACAATACGTCTACACTAGAGATTGGGGTTGGAGTTGTGGTGGTAGCACCACTTGTGCCCCAGCTAAGGTCTAGGCTTCCATTCTCACCTAACGCATTAAAAACCACTAATGATTTCAAAAAATGGGTAGGGGCTCGTCATCCCTACGGAATTACCCAAAAAACTGTCTTGACTAAACCCGTTGGTTAAGAACAACTAAAACACAATGTGACTAAGACAATAAGTCTTGATTAGACAAATTGGAACAAATAGCTAGAACACAATATGGCTAAGGATGTTTAAGCATGCATATATAACAGAACTCTAGTCATGTGACAAAACACCTCTTGACAAAACAAATAACTAGAACACAATATGGCTAAGGATGTTTAAGCATGCATATATAACAGAACTCTAGTCATGTGACAAAACGGCCTCTTGATAAAGTACAAATAACTGATAACCTTGTTCGAAAGGACAGTCAAGGTTCTCTGTTCAGAATTCTCTCTCTTGAAAATATGCTCTCTCTCTCTCTC